GCCACTGATCGTGAACACAGTAATTTAACAATGGTCACTCGCTTCTTTCTGGATGCTACATTTGCTCTGACTCCCTGAGACAGCTGACACAGCATTTATCTTCCTAAGCCGTTTGAGCAGGTTCTTCATCATCTTACACTCTGTGCTTGTTAGCAGAGGCTCCAAGGAGGCAAATTAAGTACCTAATATTATTACCGCTAATGGTAACGTCTGACTATTTCTTTATATTTGTCGGACCCGGGTTTATTGGGTTTTATTGGAGAATTTACATTTTTAACACAATTTACCATCATTGCAAAAGGATAGTATTCACTCTTTCAATTCTAGAGCTTTAAGAAGAAGACATAGAAGACATAGAAACAAATTCTCCCCAAAAATAATAAAAAGTCACATTTTTGGTTAACATATTTAATATGAATGTCCTCAAGAGCGACGTCAGATAAAGACAGAACAATTATGAATTGCCTGGAACAGTTGCTCCGAAATTTTGTGTAACCAATCAATGAACCATCAAAACTCTCCAAAAATATCATGTGGACTAAATAAGACAAAATAGAGCATTTCACCACAAAAACCTCATCCCAACTTATTGATTGGAGCCGGTTAGACACGCCACCAAGGGAACTTTTAGCCCTAAATTTGTCTGTGAAGGAATCTGCACACCAAAGAGTCTAACATGAGGCAAACCATTGGCTGACACTGAAACATCAAAAAGACAATAATGCTAAACGCCCCAGAAGTGCAGGAAAAAATAGCTGCACAACACAGTAAGTGACAAGAAATATTCATAAATACTTTGAGCTTTCCAACTACCGATGTTTCTACAAGCTGCTCGACCTTGGGGTGTATTTACTATTTTGATGGCTTTTTTTTTTTTTGCATGATGAAAAATACAACATAAATCCTTTTAAAAGATGTTAAAATATGATCACTGTTTAGATAAAAAAAAATCAAAATACAGAATTGGGGCGTTTTGACAATATCAGTATGGTAAACAACTCATATATATTCGTTAGGAGTTTGCGTATTGAAAATGTATTTTTACTGAGTGAAAGAACGTTACTCTAACCAAAATGGCAAAAGGAAGTGGAGTGCATCTATTGCATCTAAGTAATAACTGATCATGTAGCAGGTTTTTTTACTGAGAGGCAAAGCATTTGTTGCAACTACAGAACTCTGACCGCGCCGTCGCACCATTCCATACAAATGGAAATGATGCTTTCTGTTTTCCCGTCACAGGAGAGCAGCTTCCCATTTTCCGCTCCTACTGTCAAGTTGAGCACAGCTGCATAAGTTTGTTGGCTTGTGTGCGGGGCAACAGGAAATAGCTGTTGACAGCATAATGGGACTATGAAGATGCAGCATAAATCCTTAATCATGCCAGAATCATGAACTGCAGCACTCAAACGAACACATCATTCTGCTGGAACTATTAGCGGAGAGACTGGAACCCAGAAAAAGTGTCACGACCACATTTTCCTAAGTTTGTTTCTTGCAAGATAGTTAATAGATTTCCAGCTGTGCTAATACTGTATGCTGATACTATTGTTACAAGCTCAGCAGGCGTACTCATGTATATGCAAATATGGCGATAGTGTCTTCTGGAGCTGTGCTTATAAATGACATCAGAAAAAACATAACCGGAATTGCTTTGCAGCAATGACACGTATCTTCATTTTTAACCATTTTCTATGTCATGTGGAATTAGCCAGAAAATCTAGACGAGTTACATTTAAAGACTCAAGTCATAAGGGAGTCTGGTCAGCTCACAGTTAATCAAAATGAAGAGCTGAATAATAAGAAAAAAAGGGAAATAAGCCAACCTGTATCTCATAGCGTGGCCTGGCAGATTTGACTCAGAACATCATTACAGTTTAGGGTTCGCCTTCCATGCAAATCACCTCTCCAAGCCTGGAAGTTCATTACTAATGGCAGTTCCCATCAAGTTGGAGACCCATCCGAATACTAAATTCCCCCCTAACGACTCTCCCCGTCACCTCCAGTCCCCTTTCTCTTCCTAACGTCACAATTGCAACAAATGTAGTTTTCCTTTGTAGGATTACGATTAGATTTACCCCCAACAACGAACTACCCAAAACAGATGCTTTGCAGTAGTTTCCACAGACCATTGAAGCCTAAATGAACTAAGTGAACTGTCACTTTATATGTATTAGGCTGGGAATAAGAACACTTCTCTTTATTTGCTAGACTTGTTTATTTTTTCAATCTTGTGAAACACACTCCTTTGGAAGTCCCCCCCCCCCTTTTATAAAAATAGCCAAAATTACAGAGAATATGGCAGATTATGCTATTAAATACCAGCAGTGCTCGCTCAGTCTAATGCTGTGCAAATAGTATTTTTTGGATAGACTAAGGTTTTTTGGCCTTCGAAATAATGCATAAATACTTTTGAGTAATTTGTTCAAGTTTTTTTCTAATCATACAATATCTTTCCCTTACTAGACTTTGTGCCTAGCTTTGACCTTGGCTAGAGCCTAATCCAGGCATCAGGGTTTTATTTTACACTTTTTGGTGACGAAACAAATAGAAAAACAACTTTCATAGAATTGCTGCGGGCAACGTTTTTTATTTTTTTTTTTTTGCATAACTTAAAAAACAAATACGTTTTTGCAGAAAATGCTGTGACAGCATAAACTGGAATATTTTGTGTCTTTAAAATCTAATTCCAGTTCATATATTTCATATTTTGCATGAATACAAGTGTAGATTGCAGGAAAATAAGACTGCACATCATCAGTGCCACAGTAAAAATGTGGCTGTGACAGCATCATGCTGTGTAAAAGCTTCTCTTCAACATAGACAGGAAAGCTGTTCAGAGTTGTTAGGGAAAAGGATGGGTCTTAATTTGGAACAACACAAAAAATAGACTTATGAGAGGCTGCAGTAGACTTTAGACTGGAAATGGGGTTCACCTTTCAGAAACACAGCAACTTTAAAAGTCAGAGATCCAAGGTGGTTTAAATCACTATGTTTTTAAAATGGTCCAAATGTAAATTATGCAAATAATCTAGAATTAGACTACAAATTACTTATTTCAAATGCTCTCCATCCAATATGACCAAAACCATAGCTTAATCAGAGTAGCTCAACTCTGCAGATGTAAAAAAAAGCTGTTGGAGTCATACCTCAGATGGCTCTTTAAAATACCTTAGATGTGCTGATCATAAATAAAGTGCATATGAACATTATTCTACATCATTCTTTTAAGTTTAAAGCTCCTGTTAGGCCAGGTTGCTATGTCCTTCAGCCAACAATCCCCGCACTAATTTGGGTTTATACAAATTTTATAACAATAAGAAATCTTAAAATTCATTTTATTTCAAGTCAAGCTCTGATTAATGTTGTGGCTTGCTACTAACTCAATAATTCTGTGATTTAGCTGATTTTATTTTGTTTAAATGCATCCCATCACTAGTATAACAAAATTATTTAACAATATTTCTACAAGTGGTGTTGTGTGCAGTAAAAATTAAGTACATTTACAAAAAAAAAAAAAAAGTACATTATTATCTGAATCATGGGATTTTTTATATGTGGGAGGTAATGTAATGGAGCCCAGATTAGTATTTGCACAAAGAAGAAGAGGAGGAGGGAATAAAAAAAAAGCTTTCTGCTGTTTTTCTATTTTTTTGGTTGCCAATGGGTCTCTACTCACCCTCAATACATTGATGGAATAGGAGAAAAAGCAGAAGAGCAAAATGGAAATCGTAATAAACATGCTAATGCTAGGCTGTGAAGTCAGGAAGAGCAGCTTCTATCGTCCCTCACCTATCTGCTGCTGCTGGTGTGTGTGTGTGTATGGGGGTGGGGGTGTTGAGAGAGTAGGGGAAATGCAGAGATAAAGACAGAGTGAAAGTGAAAGGGAAAAAGAATTGTGTGAGGTATTGCATGGGAGCACACCTGCACACACAGCGTGCACTCTGAGAAAACAGGAGAGAGCCGCATGTGAATAGGCCCACCTTTCTCTTTCAATCGGCCCCTGGAGACTGTGCAAAGGGCCTTTTGGTGGCTCACTGGTTGAGATAAGAAGCAAAGGAGGGGGGTTCGTGGTGGTGGTGGGCCTTCAGAGAGTCGCACAGCTAGCTTTTTTTTTATAGGTTAGAAGCACCTCTTTTAATAGAAACTCATTTTCTGTGTTGTGTAATTGCAGAACATAATGGAGCACACCTCATTCAAACAGCCCAATCCCCTTTTTTATCATTACTCCAAAGCTATTTTCTCCATTCACAACCCAAACAAGCCATGTTTTAGAGAGATATTAGACTGCCTTTTGAGTCCAGGGCTCCAACCAATTTGCCTTTAAAAGGAATGCTGTTTGTAATCGAGATTAAATTTGATCTAGAGCTCATTTTAAAATGGAGACGCAGTCATCCAGCTTTATATTTGCCATCAAACTCTTGCCCTGACCTTTTCTGATTTTTAAAGCGTGTGTTTTAGCAGCCCCTGATGACCAGAAGATAAAGCTTGAATCAACCTGCCGGTAGAACACCACTAACAACAACAAACAGGGCGCCTGCTAATCGCACAAGAATGGTTTATTTTTATAAATGGTCAAATTAATATCAAAGCTGAAATGCAGAGATGAAAAATGACTGATTTGAAAATCATTGGTGAGCTTTTTTTATTAAACCTCCACAGGCAAAAAAAGAATTGAATGACTATTTGCATAATTTAACTGGCATCTTAATTATTGTGTCAGGAATCAGTATGCAAATGACTTAAGTCACTTAGGAACAAAAACTTACTCTGCTACAAGGCTAATGGACTAAGCATTATCAAGTTAGGGAATACAGCATGAGTGAAGCCTGATTTGAAAGCAGGGTTCAGTCGAACACAGAGACAAAGAGTAAAAAACAAGAAACCATACAGATAGATGGAACCTTACCTGTTATAGATGGAGAGAAGTGCGTGTAAGGGGTGTGTGTGTGTGCTCTACTGCTTTGTTCTTTTCTTTTCTCTCTTTTGAGAGAAAGACCTACCACGTAAAACAGTCAGCCTGGTGGTGGCGCTCGTCTCTCCAACACTATTGGAGGCCACGCACTCGTAAATGGCTTCATCTCGAGGCGTGCGTAATGGCTGAATTCTTAGGACGGAGCCAGAGCCGTCATCGAACTCTATCACCTGCAGGTGCGAGAGACAGGATATGTTAAAGGAGATTTTTTTGTTCACAACGCGTGAGGGACCTTCCACAGAAAATAAAAAGAAGTAAAAAATAAAATAAAGGTAAAGACAGGGCAACAACACTGATGGTTCCTGACAAAGTGTGCATTCTATGAAACAAATAGCCGTTTGTCTACCTTACTGTTAATTCTGTTTTTGTAAATTTTGGGGTATTTAATGGTATTACTGCCTAAATGTAAAACACCTAAATATCTATGTAGGTGCTGAGTCTTTTAAATATAAAGAAATCTATTTATTTTGGCCAGATTAGGCATGGGCCAGTATAACAGTCTAATAACATTACATTATAAAGGTTTATAGTATTTATTGTAAAGAAATATTGAAAAATGTAACCATGATATAGAAAAATGTAGAACATGACATAAAGCAGTAACATTTATTCCTAATGACAATAAAATAACTTATTACATTTAGGCCGTGTAGAAACTATTGTTTCTACACAAATAAGTTAAATTAAGAATCATCAAATGTAATACTGGTTATCCAGTACATCTTGAACATTATATTTATCTCTGTTATATAGTTTGGTTGCTTTTCTTTTATATAGAAACATGGCGTTAGCCTTTTTAATAGTGGTGGTCTATAGTAGTTTCAAATTAGCTTTACTTTATAACTGTGATGAATAATTTGTGAGTAGTATGATGAGGTAAGGTAAATGTGTTTTTTTAGCTTTTTGCTAGCTAGCAAGGGGGGTTGGTGTAATACTATTCTAATTAAAAGTAGAGAAAAAGTCCAGAACCAATAAAATTATAGACTTATCTTTATTTTAGCTCAAAATCTTCATAGCCTGGTTTTAGCTCACTGGATACCAGTAAATTATAAATGTGGAAAAATGTGCAGTACTTTACTAAACAAAATAAAGATATAAGAAATGTCTAATGTTCAACCAAATTAGGAAGTGTTTTCAAACAGTCACCTTTAAAGAAAACAAGGTTAGTGTTGATAAGTTTTTTTGGGCACGAACAGGAGAGAAAGTGGCAACATTACCCAAATGCTTGGGAAAAACTATAATTTCTCCATTTGCAAAATAATTTTAAACAATAACAGATTTTCACTGACACATTTACTTCTATAAAGAGAAAGGGAATGTGATTAGGGGCAGGACAATGGTACTCCAGACAACATATTTGCTTTAGTTTGTAACTAAACTTTCACTTTTTTTTAACTTGCAGCTAGCCAGATTGCTGTTTGAGGAATTTGTGGGAGAGGGGCAGGAGCATACTTTACATATCCTCAAAAAAAGTCTGGTCACTCCTGTGCATTTTCTCTTTTTTTTTTTTTACATTATCCTTTGCGATAATGTCAAGAAACAGGGTTTGCTATTTAAAAACTAGATATATTGTTACAGGTAATTGACCCATGCCTAGTCCAGATATGTAAATATATATATATTTAAATACTTTTTTTTTTTTTGTGAACGTAACCTAGTGCATTACTTGTGAAACACCTAATGTGGCTGACTAACTTAAAGAATGGGGCAGAATAATTGTAATTTTCTTAAATGTTTAGTTGCAAAGTTACTCTTAAGTCTGAATTTGGCCCACTCTTAAAGCTAATATTCAGCCTCCTGTAGGGTTAATGCGTCACACTGAATTGTGTCAATGAGACAGAAAACAAGCACAAACAGTTAACGGTGGTTTGGTAATCGGTTACAGACGATTTTTACCATGAAGTGAGGTAGTGGTACGAGAGACAGGACCAACTTTTTTTTTTGGGACGAACAACACATAAAATGCTTCACAAACAGGTGTTTGTTATAGCTTATTCAGCTATGGTTGCATGCTACGTGTTGTATACTCACTGATTTAAGAATGATCTGTGTGATAACTCAAACTCTTTTAAGCATAGAGGTAGAATCAAGTAAAAAATAGGCCTGAGACCACTTTCACTCCCACACACAGGCATTCGCACACACACAAACACACCGAGGCCTGCAACAATTTCAAAGTATACAGTATATCCGAGCATGTTAGTTAACAAAACTCTGTAACATTTTACTGGCCAAGCTAAAGCAGTGTTGCCAATCCAGGTGTCAGCAGGTGATGGTAAAAACAGCCTCCTTTCTGGGTTTGGGCCAAAGAGCAAATTAGAAAGGAAGTTGTGGGGCTTCCAGAAGGAAATGGGTTTTTGTTAGAAGATGAGGTGGCAGTGCATGATTGAATGGGTGCAAAATTGTAGCAGCCAGTGAGCCCCCATGGGGCGATGGGTGGATGAATGGAAACTAATGTGTTAGCATTCGGTTCGACGTGCGATGCAAACGTGATGAACTCTGATAAGATTGGATTTCTGTGGGTATGGGACACGTAAAAGATGTGGGAAGAAGTTTCAGAGCTCCATTAGTCCTTTGGGAGCTAATAAATAAAGCAACTATGGAGCAAAAAGAGATCTGAAGGACTGTCAGAGAAATTAATAGAAATCTTATCAGTGCTCTGGGATGGTATTGTGATGGTCTTGAGCTCAAATGGGGATTAAAGCTGACCAGAAATCACAGCTTCAGCCCAAATATAGAGGGGTGGATATGCATTTAGATAGAGATGCCACAAAGCAAAAGAATCTTCCAAGTGAAAGTGCAGCTTTCTCTTTCACTTTATATGAAGCTCAAAAATGTGCCGTGACGCTAATGTAAGGATCTAGGGCACACCACAAGTTTTCTTTTCTTCTTATCAGTCCAATTGCTTTGCATTTGTGACTTATTCAAATACAAATCTAGCACCATTTCATTTTTGCTAAAACTCAAGCATCCTCTAAAGCCGGGTCAGCATGGTTATTAGAGTCCGCTAATGCGTGGTGGCAATTCAAGGGTGGGGTGGTGGTGGCAGCGAATGGTCTTGGCACAATGAATCGTCTTGCAAGCAAAGCCAACAGAGCGGGGCTGAGGCATTCCCATTTTGTCGAGCATTTTACATCAGAACAATAGACCTAATACCTCAAATCTCTGGTTGCTGACTTTTTTCCCCTTCTTATTCCACACAATCTTCGGCCGTGGGTCTCCGGTAGCTTGGCAGATGAAGGACGCCACGCCTCCCTGCACGCCTGTTTGGTCATTGGGGGTTCTTAAAAACTTTGGCGGTGCTGGAGAGACAAAGATAGAAAGAGAAGGAAACAGCAAAATGTTAATAAGTGTGTTAAGCAAGGGCAGACAGCAAGTGATTCTTCTTATTGAGCAAATGCTAAAAAGAAGAAAGTTGTTGATCACGGCATTTGGCTTGGAAGAGTATTTTTGAGATAAAATATGCGTATATGAGACTGATCATATATGTGCACGAGAGTGCCAGTATGAGTGTTGAACTGACACAGTTTCACAACAGAGTAACAGCTCTACTTTAGTCTTTATGGGTAAGCTAACCTTTTTATTCAACTATTGAAAAGACTATGACATTCTAATAAATGTAAATCATTCTTGAATTCAACTTATATCAATTGTACAAATGTTACAAGGAGTAAGAAAACAATCCAGTGCTTGATATTGCTATGCCAACTTTTAGGGTACAATACGTCTCATCGGCTATGCATGTATAACCATTGTTCTGGTTTGACCAAATTATGTCATCACATACTGATTGACAGACTGAATAAATAGATTTCACATTTGCCAGTCAGATATGAACCATGTGGACAAAAAAAGCTTATCTAAGACATGTTTTGTGAATGTTCCCTTGACCAGAGTCAAAGTAAAAGGTGGCACTGTTTAATTTTCATGCTCCTGACTCCTGGAGCAGACTCCAAAATTACCTTCGATGTGCAGAAACTGTTGATTCCTTTAAACTGAGACCAACATTTCTTTTCACTGTAGCTTTCCCAGAAAACTCAATTATTTTTTGTACAGGTCTTTTTTTTGAACATCTGTTAACAGCTGCTTACATCGAGATGTTTAATGTACCCTTTTAAGTCTTTCCTTTAGTTCTTTATTTTTCTGTTTGAATGACCTTGTATAGGGATGAAATAAACTTGTATTAATCCTTAGCTTTGGTGGTTGGTGAAGCTCCATTTGCGAAACAACTGCTCCCCTTTTATCAATCACTTCAGTGGGCCGCACACTGCAGTAATGCCAACTGTCTGAGTCACCTCATCTGTATATGTGATGATGACATGTCTTTGTGTCCGTTCTACTGCCTGTGTGACCATGTGTAAACTGATTTTCCACCCGAAACCTTTTTTTAAGATGCATTGCTTGAAAAGCAATGACAGGCAGTAGTGTGATTGGGGGACAAATGAACCCGCAGGATTCGTAGGGGTGACATAAGGATGTGTGGCCGGCAATCAAAAAAGGGCAGATAAACAGGTTGGGCTTCCACTGGGAAAATGAGGCTGGGAAATCACTTGATTTCTTCACAGCACACTTTCTGGAATACATTCAGACAAACCCCCCAAGAAAAAGAAAAAAAAAAAGAATCTTTCTCCATCATTCATCTTAAAGATTTGAAAAACAGTTTACAAGATTATAGTTGTGCGTGGTAAAATCTGCATTTTCTTTCCAGCTAATTTGACTTAGCCATGATGCAGTACACACTGGCATCCGACCAAAAAGGTGCTGATGGGTAATTGATATGCTATCGGGGCTGTTTTTACTCCAGGGCCATGCATTACGGCTCGATGCGTCTCCATACGCTGGTTGTAATAGACTTCTACAGCGTGTACGGGAGATCAGAGCTTGAGGTGAGGGGAATGGGGTTATTTGGGTGGGCTGATGGGTGGAGGGTGGTGGAGCTTGGGTGGGGGGTTTACAGTCATCACACAATGGGGAGTGATTGAGGCGTGACGTGAAGGTAATGGTGTTTTCAAAGACACGGCCGCTGATATCGCCATCATGCAGTCATTTTAGGTCTGCTGCTGACAAACATCAATTTTGGGAGACTCCTCGTATGGCTTCAGGTAGATGGAGGCTGATTGAAACCTCGTCTTTGTTCCAACAATGCCATGACTAGAAGCGTGACAGCAAGCAATAAGATATGGCCCGTGAAAAAAAAAAAAAAATTTTGCAATCCATAAACAGATTGTGCTCCAGAACCCAGATTCTTTTTTTTAAACTGTCTTTAAAGATGACATCACAGCTAAATTGCAGCTCCCCTTTATATGACTATAATTCCTCTAATCTCACCAGAAATTAATTTCATTAACATGGACTATCACTTAGAATAGTGTGCAGGCTTTGTTTCGCAGAATGAGTCCAAACTGAAAGAAGCTCCTCTCACCTAAGCCACACGTGCACATCTCCTCTGAGAGGTAACCATAAGCTGCATTAATTAATACTGCAGCTGGGAACCTGCTAATCCGCTGCTAAGCTGCTGCCGGCAAACAAATGAGAAGCGTAAAGCCTGTAACAAGTTAAAAGGCTGGTGACAAGAGTCTGCGAATGCCCTCCCTGGAGGTCATTACATAACCTTGATCATTCTTTGTTCACAGAAAAAGGGGGAGCTCATCAGAGCACTCCCACAGTTCCTCTGATGAGTGTCATCTTTATAATTTGGCATCATAGACACTTGGGGAAAAAAGATTGTTAAAGGACTTATGGGGTGGTTTCAAAATTCTGTTACTTGTAACCAGGCTACTGTTGGCTAAATACAAGCAGAAATCAGGCTTCAACATCAATTTCTGACCTTTCTTTGACTTCTAACCTGCTAATTTAAGATCTAGGACCTTTGGGTAATGCTTGTTTAATTCAACAATAGAATTTAACTGTTTCCAAAACAGAAGAAAAGTTCTCAATTAGTTAGTTGATTAAGGTTGTTAAATGTGTCAGGAAAAAGGGAACTTTAGAATTGTCTTCATTAATGTCCGTAACCTTTGCTTGATTTTAACTAAGGAAAATGAAATCACACGCTTTACCAGAAATTAAGTAAGTCCTGATTTTTTTTGGTTGAGTCTCTGCTCATTGGTCAGAACTGATCAAGGGAACGTTGCCCGATTAATATTTTTTATGCTACTACGGTAAAAACATTTTAGAGCAGCACATGATTAAGAATATATCTCCTGTTTCTCAGTTAAATTCCAAAATCAAATTTCAAAAAGTCTAGAGAATGATTTTCTAAGATTACGAGTCAGCACACTTAGAAGGAAAAAAAGTAGAATTGGAAATTGAAAGACTGCACTGTGCAGCAGAGTAGATTTAAAGCTTTCTGAGTAATTAGTTTTAAACGTGTTGCACCGGGTCGCCGGCGACCCGGTGGGTTTTGAGAGGCTAGACTTTAACAACTGGTATTTCATGACTAAATTACTATTTTATAAGTACAACTTATATTAATTTACTTTAGGTCTGATCAATGTTGGCTTTTTAAACTTTTGACAAAAGGACAGAGTATAACACTTGTTCTGACCAAAAAAACAACCTTTTATGTGCAACTTTATTCATTTAGATAACTATTTGAGTAATGAGTCCTTACAGTAGAGTAATGCATATTCCTGTCTAAGCAAGTATGAACCCTTCCCGGTAGGTAGGTAGGTAGGTAGGTATGAGGTGATGCACAGTTGGACTGAAAAACCACAGTCCTATTTATATACAACACATGTTGTCTCAAGGAACTTATATATATATATATATATAAATATATATATATAAAAAAGGGCAAAAAACTTCAGTTAGAACAAAATAATAATAATAAAAAACACCAGGAGGTCACTGCTGCAGACTCAGGATATTTGCCTCCCTAAAAGCTTTTTCCTGTACCTGATGTAATTTAACCTCTTCTGAACTCCAGCAAACTTTGCTGCCAAAAACTATGACGACGTCACATTTTTCCTTTCAGTACAGCTTTACCCAGCAGCCAGTGCAGATGTGCATTTATTACTGACTTGTTCAACATCGCCTTAACCTACAGCCAAATATCTGATTTAAGTGATCTCACAAAGCTTAGGTTCTGGCTTTTCCTGCACAATGGCCAACACATTTCAAGTCATTCAGAATCCAAAATGAACTAATATTTGATCTGCCAAGCCATTACAGAGAGCATGAATCAAAGACTGCGCAGTATAGTAATAAACTCACTTTTCGTCTGCATCCTTTTTTTTCTTTTCTTTTTTTGCCTTGGACCCCGAGCCAAAGACAGCTCGGCTCACATAATTACGCTGACTGACATATTCAATTTCATTTGCATAAAAGGGCTATTTCCTTTGTGAATCTTTAACTTGAATGGTGAGGTGGGGTTGTTGAGGACGAGGAGGAGTGGGTAATTAATCCTAACCCACCGGACGGCAGTCTACGAATCCCCCTATAAAAATATTCAGTCTGTGATATTGATGAATTGGGAGAATCATGGCAACAAGGCAAATTGGATTGAGAAGGATGGAAGTGCCAAATGTAGTGTAGGCATGGGCTGGCAGGAAATTCTGAAGGTCTGATAATCAAAAATAGAACGGTATCATGGTGTTATGATTATGGCTCTATTTTTAAAATGCCTTTGATAAAACAGAAAAAGAAATAAAAAACACGAAATTCTTGCTAAACTGTGAACTGATCTTAACTTTGCAACATTTAGATGAACTCTGATTGGAGTTTACAGCACTAACATAAAAATTAAGTAATTTATTTAGAATGTTGGGCTCCATACTATATATATATATATTTTTTTACTTTCAAACTTTCCCTCTTTATCTGCGAAAGGTGCTATAGAAATACATTGTTACTTACTTCTAGTCATAGTTACCTTTTTTAAAAGTTTACTATGTTAACTGGTTAGCATAGTTAACTATTTTGTAGTTTCTAGGTGTCATGGTGAAATTTCTTTGCCTTCCAGGCTTTATATTTGCAATCCTACTAGAAATTTCTGGCACATATATGAATTGTTACATGCTTTTCAAATACACAAGAAAATCAGAAAAGTCGTGACCCACACAATCAGCAAGCCATCTGCCTCAGTAACAAAGTACTATTTATTTTACTAATGTTTGATGCTTAAGGTAGTTTGTTCACTGCTAGACAAACTTCACCTAGCACTGGTTGATGCTCCCACAGATGAGTTATCAGATTAGCTGAACTGCTGCACTTTCTGAACGCCTCAGAGCTTTTTACCAGCTCATTTTGCTGGATCAATCTCTTTTCAAATAACACTTTATATAAACCTATAAATGACTCCTAA